AACCCCTATAGTTGTTTGAGTTTGTATTGTAGACCTTTCTACATAACTCCTTACCAACTGAACCCTTAAACTCAATCAAAACAAGATTTTTAAACCCCTCCTACCATGTGTGTAATTCACTCGACCATAAATAGATGACACGTCAGATCCATGTCACATAAATCAATAACATGTCATAATTATCTCCATTAACTATATTTTTAATTATAAATCAAAAATATTAAATAAAAGGAAATATAATAAAATTTTAATTTATTCAATTAAAATAAAATTTGGGACTCCACACACCAAATCACCCGCCATCTTCTTCTCCCCAACCCATTTCCACCGTGAAATAGCCTCAAGCCACCAGATCAGAAAGCCGTCACCACCACTCTTCTTGCTAGCGAGACAATATTCTCTCTCTCATACCCATCTATATCTCTGCCGCACATTCTCACCATTTTCCTTTCCTCCATTTTCAATCTAACAAAATCAGCATTCCTAGGTTGCCGCATTACCAGCTTTGGCAAGCAAACCTTTTCGCCGCCGTGACCAACTCCTCTAACCCTTACCCACCTCAGTCTCCTCTACATTGTCTTCCTTTCACCGCACCACCAGCAACCTAAGACTACCTCTCCTCTGCATTCTCTCCGGCCACCAACAAACCTCCTCGCCGCCTCCCGTTCTAGCGAAAAATGGATTAGTGTTAAGATCTTTGCTAAAGTGTAGAGAAGAAAGAGATAAGGGATAAGGGGCAGGGGTTTGGGCAGGGATTGGGTTATCTGAAAAAGAAAGTAAAATGGGGAAGAAGAAGATATTTTTTTTAAAAAAATAATTACTATTTTACTCTTTTATAATTTTAATAGCTCTTTTTAATTCAGAGATGATGTTTACTTGCTTACACGCGAGTGTAATCACACACTCCTGCCAACTCAACCAATTTAATGCCACATATGATGGGTCAACGGTCAGAGGGGTTCGATGTATTGCAATTTATTGGGTTTAAGGGTTTAATTGATAAAACGTTAAGTAGGAGGGTTCATAATACAAACGTGTACAAGTACAAGGGTCCACTGGACCCTTTTGCCATTAAACTCTGGTGATAATTTTGCTTTGGCATTAATATGGATGGATTTTGAATATAATTAGGATTCACTTTGTTGTAATTATTGAATATGCATTATTATGCACATATTATGTAATCTAGAGTGCTTAAAAACAAGTGTTGTTATTTGATTCAGTATTCTTTTGTCATGTCATTATTAAATTCTTTTTTGAGAAATTAGTGATTAATTCAAAATAAAAGTTACAACTATAATTTTATTTAATTTCGATTCGTACCAAACTTCTTGCCACTGGTTCAAGAGATAATCAGAAATCCTAGCCATAAAATTTCCAAAAAAAAAAAGACA